CCTTTTTCCTAATGCTTATATGGAAAAATGATAATTATCAAAGCATTTTAAGCAATAAGTACTTTTAGATGAAATATGATCACACTTCGCTGCCTCATTTGAGTGTTAGAAAGGTTTTAGCAACTAATTTTACCCGTGAAAATCAAAAATTCTCGGCTCCAGTAAACATTCATAACTCCTCGCACACAAATGCTCCGCAGATAACGAAGACAGATTTGGAATCAACGTTTATGTCCTCCAAGATATAAATCCCATCTTTTGAGGCAACTTCGGCCAAACATCCTTCCCTTGTTAGACACAGTGCATGACAGTGTTGTCCGCATATGCTTGAGAATAGTGTGAGAATAGTAAGAGAAACTGGAAGGAAAGAAAATATAAGCAAAAAGTCTCACCTGGTCCTCCTTTCTCAATGGCATGACCATCCGCTGTCCTTCATAAGCTCGCACTTCTTTCAACACAGCTTTTGCACAGTCAAGTAGGCAATCAACGGACGTATCTAATTAAAAACATTAGAGTCATGCAGAACGAATGCGAGCTATGCGATACCATATCCGTAGTCGCTGTCAATGCAGTTCTTTTGGAAGACATCATCAACTTGGCTCATTGGCTTGAATGTATTCTTGAGACAGAGCCCATCCGACTCCACCACTATGAGTTGGTCACTACATTGGTTCAAGGGTAAGACAATATGTGTAGGGCATTTCACATCAACATCAAGTGCAACTTTGGAGCGTATACCATCGACAACCTGAGAAAAGATGATGTACAGCTGGTAGAATAAGAACGAAGAGCTTACATTTAGGCGTTTGCTTTTGGCAATTTGGTCTTGCAGCTCATTGAACTGCAGCCAGAAATCCATTAATGCGCTGAAGTACCTGAAAAGAGCTATGACTAGATTTCTCCTGAGAATCAAGAGGAAAGACGATCACGACAGAAAAAGACGTGAAAGAACTCAAGTTCAGAAGCGCCGCATGAGAACTGCAATTTGGATCTGCTAAGGATACCTGCCGGAATTTGGATGGATTCTATCTATAATTCAACACGACTTCTAGCGTCTTTCATAATATTGAAATGCCTGTTTATAAGGAGTTGAGCCCCGATATTCCCGATTTTCGAAAATAATTTGTCAAAAATCTGAAACACCGCAAAAAAATCTGCAGCATTTCGAATTTCTGATAATTTCTGAAAGCATGTTTAGAATTGTAAGCTGCTCTTTCTAACGGTACCAAGATTGTGCTGATCGAGCTTTTCTAGAAAAAGTTATGATTTTCGT